CAGCAAAATTATCTCAAATTGATCTTAAAAATGATAAAATAAAACAATGGTTACTGATTTCTATAAAATTTAAATGATTTTTTATTAAAAAAACTCACTTTAGATTTTAAATATTGTTCATTATTTTGCTTGCTATTGTGTAAATAAACCATGTAAATTTAACTTTCAGGAAAAAATAGATTCACTCTTACCAGTTTATAAATTGTACTTTTTTTTTCCACCTAACTGAATGTTCCTGCTGCTCAATCGACAGTTTTTCGATCTCTCCCCATCGTTCCAGGAAAACGAATTTATCCTCAACATCTCAAGAGGAAGAGTTCGTCTCTGTCACTATATATAATCCTGCATTGGCAGGGAGGGTGTTTCTCAGGTGCATCGTCATTGTTGTCGAAGGGTGGGTGCGAATTTGATTTGCGCAGAGCAGCGGTGCTAACGCGATTAGCAAACGTCCCCGTCTGGGCAGGTGAATTTTGTCAGAAAACATAATATAACCTGGGAGGAAAACTATAAGCGGCGCATAAGGGTGTATTTTGTGTGAGCTGATTAAATTTGCCAAAGTGCCGGCTCGTTAGTATGCAAATTAGCGTCTCGAATTACGCGCGATTGCATTAAAATATTATCCAATTTTCGTGCCCGTTTTATGCAAATTTTGAGTGAGTAAGTGAGAGAGGGAAAGATAAATAAATGCATGCGAGAGAGCCTCATTAAAAGAACATCGCGCGCGCATCGCATTATCCAAAGTGATTATAAAGTGGCTGCGAATATTTTACACGCGCACATACCCCGCCAGTTACTACTCGCACGCATTTTTCATTTTGTGTATTTGCATTCATTTGCGGCACAACTGTGGGTCGCGCCGCCATTGTTTCGCGCATAAATTTGCTTTCATTTAACCCAAGCCCACCGGAGACGGATTTGGTTTTGTTGCTAGACTCTTTTTATTTCATTAAATTAATTTTTTATTAATAAAATCTATTTAATTAAAAAATTAAGAAAAAAAAATTGAAAATAAAAAATTGGCTATGTCTGGAGAAAGACAGACTGACAACATGAGAAAGTCTTTGCTCCCCTCCCAAAATAAAAAACACATAAAATAAAATTTACAGAGAAAATTACTACAATTATTTAACTGATCATACCATGAAATTTTAAATCAATTGAATTTAATTCTTTAATCAATAATGGAACCTTTTCAAAATTTTTAAATTTCAAATGGTCTGTATTTTTTGTAAATACAAAATTTCGAAATTGTTTTTTCAGCGTGCTTGCCATTTTTGATAAATGATTCAAGAACAATTCTCGGAATGGAATTCTAAACTTAAAAGCTTTTTTTCTTGTTGAATTTGTTTTCTTAAAAAATTATGCCCTAAGTCTGCAAATTACTGGATATTATGCACCCTGCAAAACCAGTTGCTCATTTCTCCGATCTAATGCTATAAATTTCCAAGCTGTCTACATTTTACGATTTGTCCCGAGTGCGTTTTAAATCACAGGAAGTCCTTGTGCTCATTTTTTTACTTTGGAATTGGCAGCCAACCTGTAACAAGCGCCAGTTCGATAGGTCACGTTTCCACTTTTCTTTTATCCGTCGTCTGTTCCTGTGCCGGTCCAATAAGCGCGCGACACCTTCCTTTCTTTGGTTTATTTTTTGTTCCGAAAGAGACGAGTACAATTACTACAAGTGAACTTATTACTGGTCTCTCGGTGCGCGCTCGCTCGGTGGCGGCGAAGTTGGCCGCGCCTTTCTTTTTGCACGTCTCGGCGCAGCATCAGGTACTTTCTTTCTTTCTTTCTTTCTTTGGTACAATCTGTCGTCCCGCGCGGGCCGATTCGCAAGGGGCCCAAGAAGAAGTGCGACGAGTTGGGAAAAAGACCGCTCGGATGCTAACTTGGAAATTAGATTTCAGCGCTCTGGGTGCAGGAAAAAAGGGCGCTCTTTGAGCAGCCAACTTGTTACAGCAGCCACCGGGAGATGTGTGAGCCGGATTTGCCGCCGCGTGCAAGAACCAGAAGTCAGACGCTTGCAATCAGACAAACACGTCCGGCACACGCAAACTGATAAGACAAATGGACTTGCAGAATTAAAAATGAAATTGACGGTGTTGTCTTTTCAGTGATTTATTTGAAGTATAAGATAGAGTTAATAAATATCAAGATATATTTAAAATTCAATAGATGTTTTAATTTTCTGTTTAAACTTTCATTTTCACACTTTTTCTATATTATTTATTTATTTATAAATTTTAATTATCTTTGTCATTATTTGATTCTATAAAAATGTTCTTTTCCTTGTAATTTGAATTCATAAGAATATTCACTAATAAATTTTTATTGACTGTTGCAATCAAAGGATAATATTGCATTCAAATTAAAAATTATTTTGTTAGATTTCTTCCGCTTTTTCTTGATGTGTATTAAAATTCATTAAACATATTTGAATAGACGAAATACTTCAAAATTAGAAAATTGATTTTGAAATTATTATCTTGTCTCCAAACCAAGCAAATAAAACTGTTGTACTTTTTTACAACATGCAGACAGATAAGCTCTAATACATTTTTTTTCAAATTTATTAATTTTCAAATTTGTCAGCTTTTCTGACGCAACTTGAATGTATCATAATGAAGTATACAACAATCAAAACGGTCCCTTATGCTCTCTTTTCCCATCAAATAATGAACCCTATCGTACTCATTTTGCTCATTTCGTTTTCTCCCCAGAGCTTAGGCGGCTTCCTCGAAACGCAGCCGGTTGCAGCGACAATAAAACCGTGTCGACAACGGGCCGAGGACAAACAATAAAAAGTGGCCGCCCGGCTCACTCACTCACTTACTCGCAAACTGGCGCTTTTGTTTTGCTCGCCCGAGTTGCACTGCCCAGAATCGATCGCGTCCCAGCACACACGCGATTTTTGCTTTTTGACCGACTGATGGTGGCGGAGAGAGTGAAAGCGCAAGTGGGCGAATTACAAACTCTGTGGCGAAAGGGCCAAGTGGAGCAGAGCGTTCACTGACAAGTTGAAACCGCAAGTTGAGGCAGGAAATTTATTTTAATTCATTATTTTCAAGTCAAAATAGTGTATCAACACAATGATTGTTCAAAAAAAGTAGGTTTCTAAGAAGAATATTTGAAAAATTTCCAAATTATTGTTATCCAACAAAAATAAAATAAAAAATGTTCATTTTGTTGTTGCTATTGTTTTAAAATAAACAAGTAAGTGATAAATTTCATGAATTGCATGGCATATGATAGATTCTTTTTAATTATATTAATCTAATCAATAAAAGTAATATGAAAGAAGCTAAAATCTCAACTCAATTATGAAACAGTTCAGGTTACTGCATTAACATTACACTAAGTAGGTGCAAAGTTTATCAAATTTCTTTAGTATCTTCTTTCATAAAGTTAAATATCAACTGATTAGTAACAGAAATTATTAAATTTTATATTAATAATGCATTTAAATAATAAATAATATGTAAAATTAAAAATAACTTTTATTGAACCGCATTTAAAACCTTTAAAATATATTACAATATAAATAATTTTAAATTAACAACGTTGCATGCTATTTTTTTACAATTAAAATAACCCTTAAAGCTTTTCGCTCTCGCGTTTTTCATTGCGAGTGCCGCTAATGAGCATAAAAGCTGCACATCCTCATCTGCTCTGCAATCTTTCTCTAATGCAAAATTCACACACCTCCCACTTCAATTCCGTTGGAGGTGCGAAGGAACACAGAGGTGCTTCTTCTTCATACAAACATAAATTCTCCTCCTCTTTTGCTTGCCACACACACTATACCGGCGGCGCCAGTATTAAAAAAGAAGAAAATATGGCCAGAAGCGAAGTTGCTTGGTAAACATAACACCCTCCGGGCAGCGCAGAAATCGTTGGGTGCGAAAACTTTTTGCCCCGAAAGCTTTTACGCTAATGACTTGTAATTAAATGCTACTTGTTGGCGGATTCGAGGGCGCTCGTTTTTTTTACATATATATTTGCTCCCTCCTTTCTTCATTTGGGCCCCTTTTTTATTTTCGGGAATGAAAGAGCGCGCGCACCGAGAGAAAGAGAATCACTCTGGAAAATTGGAAAAGAAAGCAGTGCGTCGAGCTGCTTAGCGAATTGCTCTCGGCTCTAATTGGAAAATGAGAACGAGAGAGAACTCGACGACAAAATAAAAATGTAAAAAAAAGCCGTAGAAATTATGATTGCGGCGCGACGCGTTTTTCCTCTTAAGTTTCATTATGTGTTTGGACGGGACCCGGAATTAAATGGAAATTGAAATGCTTTTAGCTCTTACGCTACATTAGCAAGCTGAAAATGGCGGTTCTTTGTGAAATTTTGCTAATGACACTGCTTTTGCATTTTGTAATTATGTTTTGGCGCTCGTTTCCATTAATTTATTATGTTCATCAGACTTAATGTGGATTTATGATAAGGAAAATATATTAAAATGTAAATTTAATTTCCAAAATTTATAAAAACAGTTGTACATTTATTTTCATAAAAAATTTACGTTTGAATTCCACCTTTCTTGGAAGGGTTTTAGATAATTTTGTAGTTTCATAAACTAAAAAACAATTATATTTTCCACGAAAACAATGAACGACTCAAAAGTTCATCAAGGAAAAGCTGAATTAAAATTAAAATTAAAAAAAAATGATGCATTAATCTTACATCATGAAATTCTACTGCGCTGATTTAATATTTGGTTGTAAAAGTAGAAAATCTGCAAAAAAAACTTCATGATTCCTTGACAAGTTTATTTGATCAAATGAAATTAAAATGCACTTGTTTAATAAAAAAGGTGCCAAATTTGTAAATTATTATTCTTTTTCTACTATCAATTATTGCTTTAAAACCCTGGCAGTAACTATTTTTCTGAAGAAAACTATTTGCAATCAAAACTTTAAGCTTTCTCTTTTACTCTTGCAATTTTGGCAGATTCTACCTAGGTTAACCTTTTAATTAAAGAAAGAAAGAAAGTGTTTTCCTACCTTTGAGTTCGTGAGGTTCACCGTTGCTGGTGCCCTGGCTGCGCATCAGATCGTTGAGGTAGTGCTCGAGGCTGCGCATGTTGTCCAGGGGACTCGCTCCGTTGGTGGTCGGCAGACGGTCCTGCAAACAGAAATGTGATGCAATTAGTCGCCGTGCAAATAATCACTCCGCCGTCTAACTCTGCTCCCTCGCCGCCGAGGCAGAGGCGCAGACGAGCTAGTTCTGCAAAACTTATCTCTCGCAAGAGCTCCTCTGAGGAGGCAGAGATGGAAAATTACTTGTTAATTATACGCGTGCTCATAATAGACTTTAACAAGACGAAGAGCTGCAAAAGAGCGACGGCGACAAGAGAAGAGCAGCACTACTATTTCAAACGCAATTGTGTTACACTTGCCAGTCGAGAGAATTAATTTAGATTAAGTAGAGAAAGAAAGAAAAAGGAGAAGAGGAACAAATGAGAATGAAGAGCAAAATCTTGTTAATTTCCCTGACTTCAAGTAGAAGGTTCATTTGCGTAAGTCAATTATAAATCGAATTTATCATTATTATTGTTTGCAATTTCATTTATTGTAAAAAAAATTGCAAAAGAGTAAAAAAAAGTAATTAAGTCAAAATGAGAAATATCAAAAAGAATTATTGAACAGCAATAATTTATTTTTGAAAGATGATCGGAAATGATAGGCAAGGTTCGCGCATCATAATCAATGAAACTTTCTTTGATATTGTTGTTTCAGCGTTTTGATTGTGTGTAATCAGAGCGCTCGACAACAATCAGCATTTGCTCCAATTGTTGTTATGAGCGAACCTTGATAATGAGTGAAAATTTTTTATATAATACGTACACGATTCTAAAACCTCAATTTTAATTAATATATAACATATTGAAAGGGCTTCGTTAATATTTTAATGCTTTATTTTGAAGTATGAGTTTTCCCAAATCTAGATTAAAGTGCAATTGTAAATTATATCAATGTATTTTCTTTAAGGAATATACTGAAATGAACCACTCAAAAAGTAAAATAATTATTTACTTCTTGGACCGTGTCTCGGAATGTAATTCCACTTAATGGTGATAAGTTTAGTAACTAATAAATTAAATTACCAATTAATAAAAAAACAAAAATAATAAAAAAGTAGAATAATAATTAAAATTTGTAGGATATAAGATGACTTTGTATATAAATATGGTGGAAAAAATAAATAATAAAAATTTAAACTCCTTAACCTCAAATTTAAATTCACACTCTCTCATTTTCATTCTTTAGCCCTTGCTCCCCGTACATTTTGCAAATCTCGCAATTTTACTCCTTTGAACTTTTGCGCACCTCTGCCTCCACCCACGCCATTTTCAGCTCCGACGCCCGCGCCAGAAAAGAAATTTCGGCGTTCTCTCTTGAATCGAGCCCCGGCGTCGGTGAGTGCTGGCAAGGGCTCTCAAAATCTCCGAGTAATTTATGCCGCGTGCTCCAATTATTCGCGAGCGAACCGAGTGAGAGAGCGAGCGAGCGAGCGAGCAGGCTAATTTATCGCTAATCGGCGTGCCAATTGCGGACGAGAGTTTGAATTCGCGCCGCCGGCACCAGAATTAATGTGCTGGCGACAGACTAGCTTTTCCATTTTACACCCTTTTTTATTTTCACGTCTGGCGGATGAACTAAAAAATAAACTCTCTAATTTCATTTCGTGCGGATTTGGCCGGGCCGGATTTTATTTCTCTGCTCGTCGGCGCGGGCAGTAAAACAGTGCAGCGCTGCCGAGAATTACGTGAGTAATGAAGAAGGAGTAATTATGTGCTCTCGGCTTTTAAGACCCTTAAACGCGCTTGAAATTCTCAGGGCCCTGCAATGTGCAGCTGACAATTATCAAGAGAGAGTGGAAGGATTTTTACGGCGCTTTTTACTGTGTCGCCACACGAGACGCAACGACGCGACTTTGTCTCAAGTGAAATCGAAATAATCCCTTTAAAAGAGGAAGAGAAACTCAAAAACGCGGCGGGTGGAGCATAAAAAAAAGAAAAACGTCAGGATTATTAAACAGATCAGAAAAAAGAAAAAAATGAGGAAAAAAATGCAATTTTTATTTTATTTTTTTTTATGATCAAATCTTAATCAATTAAAAAAATGGTTTCAATTTTGTTCGACAGATTAAGGCGATAATTTGATCAACCCAAAATTTGAAAAAAATCCAGTTTTACAATATTTCAATATTCATTCACAACAGGAATTATAAATTTGATTGCAAAATATGATTCGGGCGGTAATTTGATATTTATAAATCTATATGTCGCAAAAATGAACCATTATTGAGATAAAAAAAACTTAATTAACTGTAAAAAATTCCAGAACTATACTAATGAACTTATCTGGCAACAATTTTAATGAAGAAAAAAAAACTCAATATTACACCAAAATGTTCACATTCATAAAAAATTACTTTAAATATATTTAAAACAGAGAAAAAGGATAACTTAATTTTTAAATACATCATTATTTGACAGTGACTTATTTTAATTTAAAATTCCTAAAAAAAGGTTACCATGGTTATTTTTCAAAAGCAACAATAACATTATTTCCAACACAAGAGAATTCAAATAATTCAAAACCTAACAAATTTGCACCGAGTGAAATATTGAATTACATCTTAACGATTTCAAACAGGTAAATATCCACGTCAGCTTGTTTTGAAATCAAATTAGAATCTGCACATTTAAGGCAAACCTCAAACAACTTTGAACTTTGCAGCCGACGCGCGCACCTATCGCCCGAACCGACGCGCTTTTAACGACTTGAATATTCTGCAACCGCACACTTTGATGGCGGAAGATCCCTGCAGCTTTTCCACCTGGCTGACTGCGAGGCATCAAAAGCTAGCGACCCTTGGCTGTGACTAAACGCGCGTCTTCTCATTCGACTCATGCTTTATTCACACGGCGCCCTTTTTAAATATTTGCAAAGTCGTAATTAACATGCATGATATTTAAAGCCTTTCGCTCGGCGCAAAACAGCCCCCGGAGAGAGAGAAACAGGGGTGGCGTCTCTCTTTCTCCGAGATGTTTTTGCAGCGAAATTTGTACGTATATTTATTATTTAAATATTTGTGTTTGTGCGCACGGTTCATTTTATGAATAATGTATCGTATTTGTGTGCAAAGAGCCCAGACAGTCTGTGTTTGGAATTTAAATATCTTTCTCTCGCCGCGTCGCAGACGTCGCAGCTACCAGCACATGCCAGCTAATTTAATGTATCTCAACCGACGGCAGAAATAATATGTGCGTCGTCTCGGAATTGGATTCGCATCAAACAATAAAAAGCAGACTTTTGTACGCTTGGCCCCGAGCTAGGCAGACGAAACGCATAAACTTGCAGACGTGCCCCGCAAGAATGGAAATATATATATACGATTTTTGCATGACAACGAGCGGCTTATTTGATGGGGACACGACGTAGGAGTCGATCTCGGATCGAAAAAGGCCAATGCGAGTTATCGCGTCATTTGCGAAATGAATTGGTGCACGAAACAAAGAGATCTCGCAAGAAAAAAATGAAGCAAATTAGAGAAAGAGGAGAAAATTTTACTACAGTTCTGAATTTAATTAAATTATTTTATATTTCATTCTCGAATTGAAGCTAATTTTTTCACCTATTTAATAAAAAATTCGTTCCAATGGTTGATCTTTGTAAATTTTAAATTATTTCTTCTCTAAATTACCGTGATGAAGTGTTATTAATTAGCTGATTTCCAGCCTGCTAATTAAACATGCTTTTCCCTTCTCTTTCTCTTCGATAAAAATCAACGACTTTTTCTCCTTTTTCTTCTGATTGTGAGTACGATTTCAGTCAGTTCAGCTTCTCTATACCTCTCCAGTTTGTTCTTTCCACTCTCTCGGCGCTAATTCAATTTCGACATTCGCTCGCCGCCGAATTCCTCGCCGGCGGACGCGCCTCGAATCCAAAATAAAAAGCAAACGCACACGATTCTTATTAAGATTTCGCCCGTCTTTCATTCTTTTCATCGGAACTTTTTATGATGCTCGCGTGTGTGCCATATTTAGATTTCTCATTACGTGAGGCATGTGTATAAAAATGTTACGACGGAGCGAAAGAAAGAATGTTGTGCGCAAACTCCACCCATTCTTGCTTATTTAACATATTTTCGATAAAATTTCAATATCTGCGTGCATTGAAAAGAAATTGACAGGCTTCCCTTCTTTTCCATCCGCTCGGCTGCTCCTTTCTCCTGTCAGTCTCCCTTTATTATTATATTTTCGGAAATTTCTGATAAGAAGCTAATTTCGGAGGGAGCCAGACCCTCCTCTTTCTTTTTTTGCTCCTTCTGTTTCGCCGGCGTGCGTCAAAAATTTTTTCCGCTCCGGGTCGTCGCGACGCAGATTTTCCTCATTTCGCCAGTCGGCAGGTGATTGAAAAAAGAATATGCTTCGATGTCGGTGGCACGTGAAAAATTCCGCAGCAGACTGGAATCGTTTAATGAGAGCGACGAGAGAGATAGATAGAGAAAGATGCGAAATTTGAAAAGAGTTGCTCATCAAATTTGTCCCTCGTGAATAATAAAAAAAAGGACTGGAGGAAAATTGGAAGGAAAAAAAAGAGACTAACAAAAATGGCAAGTTTAAATAAAATAATGTTTTGCCTTGTAACGAGACCGTTGATTACAATTTTTGGTTGCTAAAAAAAGATCAAACATGAAATTTTGGAAATGAAAAAAAAATATGATTTTTCACGGATTATATCATTATAGGATTAAATTCCGTTGCACATTAATAATAATTATTGTTGTTGTTTATTTTCAATGTTGTTTTCTCTGATTTAATTATAACATGTATAAAAGAAAATCTCATTTAGGATCCATTTGTATAAATAATCATAGATTTATGTTTACACAATAAAATGTTTCTCAGCAATTTCATACTTTATAGTTTCTTAATAATTTTTTTTATCAAAATTATCAGAATCTGAAATTATCAAGTGTTTCTGATTTTAATATATTTTTATAAATTAGTTTGTTTTTAAGTTTTCTGTGATTAAATAATACGATTAAATGATTTTTTTTCCAAAATTTACTGGAGGCCCTAGTAGGCTGCAAATTTACCCCTTCAAAGTTTC